TTTTCAGTTGTTCACTGATCTATAACCATGGGGAGGAAGGTACTAAACGAAGGAGACTCGCATTTTGACTTTGACTTATTTGTGATTGGAACCGGAAGTGGTGGCGTTCGTGCTGCCAGACTTTCAGCAAATTTTGGAGCTAAGGTATGCTGCAGCATCTAGACCATTGGTACTGCTTAAAATTATTGAGTTCTGCATGCTCCTCTGCTACTTCCCGATTTATAAACTACTCATTTTCTTTTAAATATGATGTTCAAGGTTGGGATCTGTGAGCTTTCATTTCATTCAATCAGCTCAGATGTGATTGGGGAAGTTAATGTTCTAGACAAAAAAATAGCTTATAGGTGTGAAATCTCATATTTTTGGTCCTCCAGCTGTGTTATTGGTGGTTGTGTTCCCAAAAGGATTTGGTGTATGGAACAACTTTTGGAAGTGAAATTGAGGTGAGATGGTAATCTTTTTCAGAATTAAATCTGATAGATTTCCTGATTTTGCAATTACACATTAGAGAAAAGTATCCAATTCATGGTTTGTATTTTTACTTTCTAAAGTTGAAAGTACATGAGCGTTTGAAAATTTTCTTTAGTTTATCCTAGAGTTTCTCTATACAACAGTAGAAAATTAATGAGATCTATGATTCAATTGTGTTTCTTTAATAATCAAAGCAGTAGAAGCTGAAACTATTAGGAAGTTTTACATTTTGCTTGATAGATGTAGAGTTGCATTTTATATTCATGGGGCAGTTGGCTCTACACAGTTGTCTTGCTTTCATATGCCTTCAGATTCTGTCTGTTCTGAGAAAACTGTTAAGGTTCTTCATTAAACTATTTTTATTTCAGCTATGCTCTGTCAAATGGGAAATGATATTCAATCTCACACCATAAGTGGCCCTCCCAGAAATATGATTTTTTGCTCAGCCTTTGATTTAGCCTGGCCTAGAGCTTGATCCTTTCTTTTCCCCACTTTAGAAAGGAAAGTCATCGATAATCTTAGTTATCTTTGCTCATGTTGGAGTTTTCATTATATCTGTTTGATTTGATTACCACCTGGTTAAATGTAATATAAATTTCATTATGTAATGAAATAGATTCGCAATTGGACTGATACTAGATTTTTTATTAACAATATGTCATGGAATATACTTAAAATTTTGATTTTGGTTGGTCTTCTATTGTGTTGTGTACTAGTATTTCGTTTGAGTATATTTCTTTGTTGTATTTCACGGCTAAGCAATTGGTAGTTGTTGGATGCCTTGGTACTTGAATGGTTCATCTAAATGTTCTTATTGGGTGTTCTGATGAATTCATTATATATGATGTTTGTTTTGTAGGATGCCAGAAATTATAGATGGGAGGTGAACGATAAAGTTGAATTAAACTGGAAAAAGCTTCTATGGAAAAAGGTTGGTACTTTTTTTTTTCCATATGATTGAGGATATATGGTTTTTCAAATTTTCCTCTAATAAATTTTGAAAGGTGCAGTGGAATAATATTGATTGAAGCAGGTTCAGATTCTCTTTTAAATGCTTCATACAACTGATGACATACTGAGATAACATGGAAGGGCTTGGAAAATGTCAAAATGGTTCCTTTTAGCCTTTGGTTATGAGCCATTAAATTTTATAGGCCTTAAAGTTTGGCCATCTAGAATTTTGTGAAATTTATGGGGATCATTTTCTGGTTCATCAGTTGTGCAGTGCTTATCTGGTTTACCATGATTCAAATCACAAGAATCTCCAGATAAATATCAAATTTTTGGCATGTAGCTTACATTGTCTAAATTTGTATGTGAACAACAATTTCCTGCAATAATTGTTAACCTTTTTTTTTAATCTTCTACAATGAATATTTTTTTGTATCTTTGGAAACTTTAGTTAAATACCTTTTTTGCTTTCTTCTTTCTAAAAGTTTTCACTTGACTGTCTACATCATGATTCCTTTTTGTTGGTCATTTTTCTCTTGTTGCTTTATGATCTGACTTAACGTTCCATTCTAAATTACAGACAGATGAAATAATCACATTAAATGGTATTTACAAATACCTATTGTCAAATGCTGTGGTTAAATTGTCCGAAGGGGAGGGAAAGATTGTTGGTCCAAATGAAGTTGAGTTGACACAACCAGATGGAACTAAATTGAACAAAACACGTACTGATTGCAACTGGCAGCAGGGCCCATTGTCCTGATATTCCTGGGAAGGTAGATATTTCTTTTACTTTCAATGTGATTGGTTGGTATGCTTGTAAACTTGGGTTATATGTAATTTGGCTTTGGTATATCTTGATTGCATGGAAGTGCAATTTTCTTCTGAAGTGAGAGAAAAACATCTATTGAACTTTACAATATCTCCCTTGCTTTTTTCAAGCTTGCAAGCAGACTTAACCATGCTCTCTAAATTCTAGTTTTAACTATGCTGCCTAAGCTATGCTTCTAAAGTTTCTTTACTTGGATGCAATTGAGTTAGTCTATTTGTGGCTTCTTTCATTGTTATTGCAACCAATGCTGGAAATTTGAAATTAAACTTAACACATTGTGTT